TAAATGTTAGCATGAGATCAACAACTACTAGTCCTTCGGGGCATAACCTACTGATGCAAATGATAGGAGTGAGGTAGCCTTAGTCTTGCTGGCAGCCGTAATGTGAGGGTTTTATTCCTGAGATATGGAATTGGACTCTTTGTGGACACCAGTGTACGAACAAACTCTTGTTTTCTGACCTGTTGGGACACATTAAGCGATTTACCTCCCACACGATGCTCCAGAAACGGGGTGGTGGGGACTCTCAAAGTTGGGGTTCAACCTGAGATCAACAACTACTAGAGTGCACTGTACCTGACAAGACTTGATGTATTCTTTGGACACAACATACATAATAACATACTGTCTATAATTGTGACTGTTGCACTAAATATTCCTATACCCAATTAATCTACAAGTACAGATTATTTTTAATAGAATTAATACAAGAGACAACTGTCTTCCTGTGACTTGTTGTTGCCAAAAAATGTTTTCGACGATAGCCAATTACAGGAAGACAACTGTCTTTTTTGTACAAATTTTGTAAAAAAAATTTGTACTTATAACATTGTTCTTCCTGTACCATAGTCTATCCCTTGCTAACACTCTTTCTCGATATTGATGCATTAGACAATTTCTTTGCTTTTATTTGGTTAAACTAATTTTTTTTTTTTTTATAAATTTACTCGATGTAAAAGTAATTTTTACATTCCCATAAAAAATATAACTGAGATTCATATTAAAAAGAAGCAACATTTTTAAAAATATATGAAAAAAAATTCTACTTCAAAATAAATTTAGGCCTTATTTGACCTACATTCTTTCAAAAAAACACATAATTATAAAATAGTGATTTGATATCATTTCAACTACACATTTTTTAATAAAATAATATTACATTCAAATACAAAATTTTTTCTTATTTTTTAACCACATATTTTCTATCAAATACACTATTTAAAAATACATTCTTACGAAAACAACATGACTCAAAGAAGCTTAGGCTCTGTTTGTTTTCCATTAATGTAGGAATGAGAATGAAAAATATAGTTGTTATAGACTCCAGACAAGAGATAAAAATCGAATATGGTGGCTTGATGTGATAGATAATGATCATATTTTTCATTTTAATGGCCAAATATGGAAAACAATCAGTGGCTTAATTTAGAGCATACTTGGTAGATATTTTAATCCAATTAACATCAATTTTTTTATCATTATTTCCTATTCCAATTGTTATTTTTTAATTCTTCTTTCATCGATAGGACCCACTTTATCTCTAACGGTCAAAATACCAATTAATAGAATCTCTACCAAACAAGCACTTAGGCCCCGTTTGGCCCCCATTTTATAGAATTGAAAATGGGTGGAATATTATTTTTTTAAAAAATAAGTAGTTGAAAAAAAAGAAAAATTTTTCGATTTACTTGTAATATTATTTTATGAAAAACTGTGTGATTGAAAATAAGAGAGAGAAAAATATAATGTAATAAAAATTAATTAGGATTAAACGAGAGCTTAGTTTGATGCTTGGTCAAACATATGATTCCTTCTTTTATTAATCCAATTGATACCTCTGTCCAAAAGTAAAAGGCACAGTAGTTGGACTTTTGGACATGAATCAACTTTTACAAGTAAGGTTATCATTTGACTTTGAGCCATTAGTGCAACAATGAAGGGTGTCGAGTAATGGTTGGTCCAAGTCTCCGTGAACAATCATAACAAACTTATTTTATCAATCATCCAATTATTTCAATTGTTGACACAGTCAAGAAATTAGAAGAATATTGTTATATGTACACTACAGTGTACATTTTACTTTACACTTTCTCACGAGACAGTATTTAATTGGATATTTTAAATTTCAAATCGTTTTTCCATTAAATTGACACTTGACAACAATGTAAGTGTTAAACAATATGTCAAAAATCAGTGTACAAATAAAAAAGTACATGAAAGTCAATTGTCATTTCCTGAGATATGGAATTCAACTCTTTATGGGCACAAGTGTACGGGCAAATTCTTGTTCCTTGACCTGTTGGGGCACATTAAGCGATTAACCTCCTCCACTATATTCCAGGAGCAGGACGGTGGAGGTCCTCAAGATTGGGGTTCAACCTAAAATCAACGACTACTAGAGTGCATTGTGCTTGATAGAACTTGATGTATTAAAAAAGGTTGAACCCCAACCTTAAGGGTCCCCCACTGCCCCTATCCTGGAGCATCGTAAGGGAGGTAAATCGCAGGTTATGCCTCTAAGGGTACAGGGTGGAAGGCTGCTTGTACACTTGCACTTACCCAAGAGCCAAATCCATATTTCAGGATTCGAACCCTTGACGCGACAGTCTCAAACAAAGTTGGATTTCTCCACCCTCCCCTTTTATCACTTGGAGATGTGCCCTTGGGGCAACTTGATGTATTCTTTGGACACAACATACATAATAACATACTATTTATAATTGTGACTGTTGCACTAAATATTCCTATACCCAATTAATCTGCAAGTACAGATTATTTTTAATAGAATTAATACAAGAGACAACTGTCTTCTTGTGATTTGTTGTTGCCAAAAATTATTTTCGACGATAGCCAATTACAGAATTTTGTAAAAAAAAATTTGTATTTATAACATTGTTCTTCCTGTACAGTAGTCTATCCCTTGCTAACACTCTTTCTCGATATAGATGCATTAGACAATTTCTTTGCTTTTATTTGGTTAAACTAAAAAAAAAAAATTATAAATTTACTCGATGTAAAAGTAATTGTTACATTCCCATAAAAAATATAACTAAGATTCATATTAAAAAGAAGAAGCAACATTTTTAAATATATCTGAAAAAAATTCTACTTCAAAATAAATTTAGGCCTTATTTAACCTACATTCTTTCAAAAAAAAAACACATAATTATAAAATAGTGATTTGATATAATTTAAACTACACATTCTTCAATAAAATAATATTACATTTAAATACAAAATTTTTTCTTATTTTTTAACCATATATTTTCTATCAAATACACTTTTTAAAAATGCATTCTTACGAAAACAACATGACTCAAACAAGCTTAGGCTTTGTTTGTTTTCCATTAATGTAGGAATGAGAATGAAAAATATATTCGTTACGGACCCCAGACAAAATATTTATTATTTTCCTCAATTATTTATTTTAACTAACTTTTCTCTAAATTATTTCATTATTTTCTTACATTGAAAATTGAAATACTTTAAATGCATTTTTCGATTTTTAAATTAAAACGCTAATTTAACAGTCTCTTAGAGATGTTCTTACAACTTCTATTTGTTGTGATACCAGGTTGAAGAACCTTATATAATCATTTAAACGTTGTGTGACGAAAAAATATTTTATTTAATTTTTTTTTTTTGTATTTTAGCTTCAACAAAATTTCCACCTGCCAATCAAGTAATATTTATAATCCTCGTAGCCATGTCGAATGCAAGGACTTTTATTGTTTCAAGGTCTATTTTAAATAGTAAAAGATATATTATACAAAAATAGAGTGGACCAAGGTCTTCTTTGGCCTAAAAATCTGATATGATGAACGCCCGGAATTATATCAAGAAGGTATTTTTTACAAATCAGAAGGTCCAAATTTCACGGAGCTCTATGCTAGTCCTATTTCAATAGAGTAGGGTGCATTATAATTACCGTGAGACCTTAGTTTGATGAGGATTAAACGATAGCTTAGTTTGATGCTTGGTCAAACATATGATTCCTTCTTTTATTCATCCAATGATGCCTCTGTCCAAAAGTAAAAGGCACAATAGTTGGACTTCTGGACATGAATCAACTTTTACAAGTAAGGTTATCATTTGACTTTAAGCCATTAGTGCAACAATGAAGGGTGTCGAGTAATGGTTGGTCCAAGTCTCCGTGAACAATCATAACAAACTTATTTTATCAATCATCCAATTATTTCAATTGTTGACACAGTCAAGAAATTAGAAGAATATTGTTACATGTATACTACGGTGTACATTTTACTTTACACTTTCTCACAAGACAATATTTAATTGGATATTTTAAATTTCAAATCGTTTTTCTATTAAATTGACACTTGACAACAATGTAAGTGTTAAACAACATGTCAAAAATCAGTGTACAAATAGAAAAGTACATGAAAGTCAATTGTCATTTCCTTCAAATTTGTCACGGGATATAAAATCACGTTTTTTAAAATATTTCAAGAAACACGAATTATTACTTATTTATCATCCCTCGTTCATATTTATTTATAAATATTTTTTAAAGGCGCGTAATTAATTTTTCAATCTCAAGCATTTAGATAATTTGTTCTTCCTTTATAACGAATGATCAGTCTCAAATATCCTTTTTTTTTTTTTCAATTTGTGTGTCGGTATTTTTTTTAATTAGATTATAAGTTGTGATTTTTAGTTAAAAAAAATATGTTGATAAGGAGAATAAAATTGACTTTTTAATAAACTTATTATCAAAACAACAAAACTGTTAATACAGTTGAATTGTACAAAGAACTTTACAGATGACGTAACATCATTTTAACGGTTGGATTAACAAAAATGGTGTGTGATTTTGCCATCTATAATTTTTGTAAACCAAGTCGTGAACCAAATGGTATATGTAGCATTTCTCTTATAAAAAAATATTGAATAATATTACTTATACAAAATGAAGTTATATAATAATTTACATACAGATAACGTATCAAAAAAGAGTAGAGAACTTTTTTTTATTTGATTCAAAAAATTTTGATCAAATCTTGCCCATGTTTGGCCCCCATTATTCAGGATTATAATTTTTGGAATAACATATTTTTGGAGAATGTGTGGTTGAAAAAAAAAGATAAATTCAATTTACGTATAAGATTATTTTATGAAAAATTGCATCGTTGAAAATTAGGAAGAGAAAATTATAATGTGAAATGATGGGCAAAAAGGTTATTATTGGTATGTAGTACAATTGGGAATTAATTACTAACACAGTGAACTGTGAAGCTCGATTATTTTTCAACGGGAATTTTTTATTTCCTCAATTTTCAAACATTTTGTGATGTAAATGCATTTGCATTGTTGTTGGGTTCTCTCTTTGGCTAGCAGAAAAGCTAGAGAGGGAAAGATAGGAGAGAGAAAACAAAGCTCATCAGGTGTTTGAAGAAAGGAGTAGGGGTTCTTCTTCCGTTAAATGTACTAGCTAGAGACAGTCTCTTCAAAGAATTTTGTTTTAATTTTGGTGCGTCAAAGTATTTCTCTTTCACATTCAATTCTTTGGGATCTGGTTGTTGTGTATATGTGCTTTTTCTTGGTTTCTCCTTGTCGGGTTTTTGCGAAAATTTCTGTTAAAGATTGAACCTTTGGATACTCTGTTTCTTGAATATCTTGTCGATTCTTGTGTGGTTTTTCTTTTCTTGATTTGCAATTTTTCTTTACTGTTCGAAGTGAAATACTAAATTCACTGGATTTCACACTTCAATCCCAAAGTCTCTGAATACAATTTACCCTTTTACTCCTACTCTGTTGTCCTCATCTAAACCTAATCTTCAGGAAAGCTCAAATCTGGGGTTTTCATGGTCTGGTCCAATTTTAATTAGTTCTCTTTTCAGTCAATGTCAAAACAGTATACGTCTATTAAATTTTTGAAAAATGAATTAAAAGGGTTCTTTTCGCTATGGGGTTCTGATTTTTGAAACCGAAGGTTTATTCTGGTGGAAGCTTTTTTAAGCTTTAATTCCTTTTGCTTTTTGGAGATTAAGGTTTGAATTGAGTCCCCTTTTCTGTGGTTTCTTGTTAGATGAGCTAAACTAAACCCCTTTGATTGATTATTTTTTCTGACCATCTCTCATACTCTTATCAGATTGATTTTACAGTAGAAAGGGGGAAAAAAGCTTTGATGCATATCTCACTTTGGAAGCCATTATCGCACTGTGCTGCTCTAATCTTGGACAAAAAGAGCAGAAGAAAAGATGACTCTGATCACTCAACAGAAGAAATCAAGAGAAACCCTTTAATTCTGAGGAAATTGCAAGAGCATAGGCTGATGGAGGCTCTTGAAGAAGCATCTGAAGTTGGATCTCTTGTTAAATCCCAAAACATTGATTCTGATTCCATGGTCAATCAAGATGAGGCTTTGGGCCGATCACGATCACTTGCTCGACTAAATGGACAGGCAGAGTTCCTTAGAGCCACTGCCATTGCAGCTGAGCGCACATTCTGTTCTTGTGACTCCATTCCTGAGCTTGTAGAGGCATTCTCTAAGTTCCGCACGATGTATCCTAAGTATCAGTCATCGGAGAGGATTGATCAGCTGAGGGCAGATGAGTACTCACATCTCTCTGTTGCCAATTCAAAGGTATGTCTTGACTACTGTGGGTTTGGATTGTTTTCATTGCTACAAACAGTTCATTATTGGGAATCGTCTACATTTAGCTTGTCTGAGATTACTGCAAATTTGGGAAATCACGCTTTATATGGGGGAGCTGAGAAAGGCACCATTGAACATGATATAAACACGAGAATAATGGACTATTTGAATATCCCTGAGAATGAGTATGGCCTTGTATTTACTGTAAGTCGTGGCTCAGCCTTTAAACTGTTAGCTGAATCCTATCCATTTCAAACGAACAAAAGGTTGTTGACCATGTTTGATCATGATAGCCAGTCTGTGAATTGGATGGCTCAGAGTGCTAGAGAGAAAGGTGCCAAAGTTAATAGCGCATGGTTTAAATGGCCTTCTCTCAAGCTCTGTTCGACTGATCTGAGGAAACAAATTTTGAACAAACGGAAGAGGAAGAAAGACTCCGCTGTTGGCCTTTTTGTTTTCCCTGTGCAGTCCAGAGTTACAGGTATGAAGTACTCGTATCAATGGATGGCCCTGGCTCAACAGAACAACTGGCATGTTTTGCTTGATGCTGGGTCATTGGGCCCAAAGGACATGGATTCCCTTGGATTATCTTTGTTTCGACCAGATTTCATTATCACTTCTTTCTACAGAGTGTTTGGCTATGACCCTACTGGATTTGGATGTCTTTTAATCAAGAAATCTGTGATGTCAAGCCTTCAGAATCAGTCTGGTCATGCTGGGTCGGGTATAGTGAAAATTACTCCTGTGTTTCCTCTGTACTTGAGCGATTCAATGGATAATTTTCCCGGATTTGTTGAGGACGAAGAAGTCAGTGGGGATGAAGTCAACTCGGAAACTCGTCCAGTGTCTCAGTTGCCTGCCTTTTCTGGTGCTTTCACATCTGCACAGGTGAGGGATGTATTTGAAAATGAGATGGAGCATGATAACAGTTCTGATAGGGATGGGACAAGCACTATTTTTGAGGAAACAGAGAGTATTTCTGTTGGGGAGGTAATGAAAAGCCCTGTCTTTAGTGAAGATGAATTGTCGGATAACTCACCGTGGATTGATTTGGGTCAGAGTCCACTTAGTTCTGGTAAAGCTGGTCAGTTCAACAAACTCAGCGTGGCCTCTCCATCACCACCAGTTTGGTTCTCTGGCAGAAAAGCTCGTCAGCAAATTTCTCCGAAAGCACTATCAAGCAGCCAGATGTTTGACAAGGAATTGAATCCAGGACATCATGTTGACCACCATGTATTATCATTTGATGCAGCTGTTCGATCAGTATCTCAAGAATTGGACCATTTTAAGGAGATTCCTGAAGAAGAACAAATTACTGAAAGAAATGAGGCTTTGAGAGAATGTAGAACTCCAGACTATCATCATTTTCAGGAAATTGAAGAAGAAACCGATACCAACAAACCACTGGATTCTGCTGTGAATGGATACGGTCCCAACAACTTATCTTCTGCTTCTAATCATATAAGCATTCAGAGTGGCTCAGCTTCAGAGATATTCCCCGCTACAAAGGAAAGTGCGATAAGACGAGAGACAGAAGGTGAGTTTAGGTTGCTGGAAAGGAGAGAGAGGAGTAGAATTGCAGGTGGTAGATTTTTTGGCATAGAAGAGACGGAGCAGCCTGGAAGCAGGGGAAGAAGGGTATCCTTCAGCACTGAAGACAATAACAGAGCTTGTCTTAGCCATACTCTGGAGCCAGGAGAATTATCAGCCACCAGCCTCGACGATGAGGATTACCTTAGTAATGGGGAAGGTGAACAAGAGCTGGGCAGGACTGAACCCGAGTTAATCTGTAAGCATCTTGATCACATAAACATGTTGGGTCTCAACAAGACAACCTCGCGACTCCGATTCCTGATTAATTGGCTTGTAACTTCATTGCTTCAGTTGAGATTCCCGGGTTCAAACGGAAAGGACAGTGTACCACTTGTTCAGATCTATGGCCCGAAAATTAAATATGAAAGAGGTGCAGCTGTTGCATTCAATGTGAGGGACAGAAACCGGGCTATGATTAGTCCAGAAGTTGTTCTGAAGCTGGCCGAGTCACAGGGTATCTCTCTTGGTGTTGGCATTCTCAGTCACATTCGGATTCTGGATAGCTCCAAACAGCAACAAGGATCTTCGAGTCTTGAGGATACAACCCTTTGCAAGCCAATGGAAAATGGCAGACAAGATGGTAAAAGCGGATTTGTTAGATTTGAGGTTGTCACTGCTTCTCTTGGCTTTTTGTCCAATTTCAACGATGTTTATAAGTTGTGGGAATTCGTGGCTAAATTTCTTGATCCAGCCTTTGTCAAAGGGGGAGTCCTTGCGCCTGTTGCAGAAGAGGTAGAAGCATGAGGCCTGAAACTTGTGTTACTGTTCTATATTTCCTTTACCCATTACAAGGGGGAGAAGCAGAGATGTATTGCCAGTCGATGGTTCAATATCAGGGGCAAATGGTTCATTTCAGGAACGGCAGACGATTCAAGTGTAAGAGAAACAAAAGATGGAAACGTTTTGGATAGATTTCTTTTGCCCCTCTTCCTCCAAGTAGATGGCTCGTTCATTTGCTTGGAATTTTTGCTTTTACCTTCTGGGGTTTTGTAGAGTTAGTGTTAGAAATATATTTTGTCTCAAATGGTAATGAAGAATTAGAGCAGATATAAATGCGTGTAATAGCTTGTTATTGACCAAAGTAATCTGATGGACAAAAATCTTCTAATTTTGCTTGCTTCAGGTTATTATAAACAGTATTTTTAGTTGAAGAAAACAGGGCTTGAAAGAATGAACAGCAAGGTGAAACTTTTGAGATTGTCAAAACGAGGTCAATTATTTGTTGATCTTAAGAAAATGGATTAAAATGCAAGTCAGAGTGCCATTTCCATTGTTGTTTTCTTTTGATCTTTCACTTGGAATGCCAGTAGTGGCAGTCATTGGATTACTCTCTCTCTCTCTCTCTCTCTCTCTCACTGCGTTTCTTTTAGTTCTCATGGTTTTGATTTTAAGAGGGCTCAATCTAGGACTTAATATTGGTCGAGGAAATATGTGAATTCGTAATCTTTTTACAGGAAATATTTTCGATATTTTTGTTATAGATATATTGAGAGCATGCCTCGAAAGTTTAGTTGAAATTGGATAATCCAAGTTTAAATAAACAACACATTGAAATCTCATATTGCTCTCATACTTTCAATGTGGGATCCAAACAATAAGTCTTTCAATTAGAATCATGACAAATTATCATGCTCCGCAATCCCCTATTGCACATCAGGCTGACTTTCCACTGGCTCATGACTAGTCCCAAATAAACGCTACTATGCTGCAATTTCAATTGAGAGACGTGATGTCTACTCTAATAGTAATGTTATAGATCTTGAGGACCTAAAAAATTAGTAGTTGAGGTTGAAGATCTCGAGTCTATATAAATAACGAAATCTTACATTTTCGATGTGAGATTCAAGTCCATACCTTTCACCTTGAGTTGAAAATCATGACAATTTTAGCCAAGTAATCCAAATGGCAAATAGGTGACCAACAATGAATCGTTAGTGGTCGATTTGAAATTTATTACAAATTTCAATGACCGCTAGTGAATTAACACATAATATTTACCTAAAAATTTCCTGCAACCTCCGGTTGTTCCATGACTCTTCGGCTTCACACTTTATTAAGGGATGTGTTATCCCACATCGGTTAAATACCGAAATAAATATGCATTTATAAAGATTTTGGATTTCTCCACTTAATAAGATCAACCTTATTAAGATGGACCTCAAGTCTTAATATAATATCAAAGTCACCCCGTGGATTCCAATATTGGTCTGTTCAAAATAAGCCACCATCTTGAGAGGGCAAAAAATTCCAGACTGAGATCGAGCGACTTTAAGACCAAGGAAATATTTCATTTTACCCAAATCCTTAATTTTAAAATGGTCATCAAGGGATTTTTTGAGAGCAGTTATGGCAAAGAGATCATTGCCTGCAATCAAAATGTCATCAACATAAACTAGAACGACAGTTAGAGATGAGCCAATAGTCCGAGTAAAAAGTGAGTGAACAGCAGCAGACTAAGTAAAACCATCAGATAATTAGACAGAGAAAAAGCTTCGAGTACCAATTTCGAGAGACTTGCTTAAGACCATATAGACTTAAGTAAACGACAAACACGAGTCTCCCCCTATTGACCATACCCGGGAGGGAGCGTCATATAGACCTCCTCTTCCAAATCACCATGAAGAAATACATTATTAGCGTTAAGTTGATGAAGACGCCAATTGCGGGCTGCTGCAATAGCTAAGACACAACGAACAGTAACAAGTTTAGCTACTGGGGCAAAGGTGTCATGGTAATCATGGCCCTCTACCTGAGTATAGCCCTTAGCTTCCAACCGAGCCTTATGTCTTTCAATGGAACTATCTACATAGAGCTTTGATTTAAAGACCCATTTACAGCCAATAGGTTTCTTATCAGAAGGGAGAGGTGTAAGAATCCAAGTATTATTAGCTTCAAGGGCTCAAATCTCAATCTGTATTGCATCATGCCAATAGGGATGCTAGACAGCTTGAAAATATCGAGTCGGATAATATGATTGTGATAAGGCAGAAAGAAAGGTGAAGTGGTCAGGGAAAATTTATGATATAAAACAAAATGACATAAGGAATGAGTCATACCTGAAGGTGCATCAAGGACAGTGGGAGGTGTTACAGATGAAGACGATGGTAGCGTAGGGCAAATATAGTCAGCTAGATGAAGGGAATGTTGTATAGTACGTCGAGGGCTAATGGGGAGAGAAGAGGACTCAGAGGGTGGTGGAGGACGGGGGGATGATGTTGGCGGAATAGGAGGAGGTGATGCTAGTGGAAGCGGTAGAGGAGGAGGTGATGCTAGCGGAATAGCAGGATCAGCAATGGGAAGAGGTAAGACTAGGGGTGATAGGGGAGGTTGGGGTTATAGTTTGAAGGGGAAAACATGTTTGATAAAAGTGACATCCCTAGACATGATAATTTTCTTGTCCTCTAAGTCATAAACTCGGTATGTGCTATGAGAAGGTGGATATCCTAGAAAGACACAGGGACGAGCACGGGATTGTAACTTGTCATGATGAGTAGAAGTGGTATGGGCATAGCATAGGCAACCGAACACCTGCAAATGATCATAACAAGGTGGGGTGTGATAAAGACACTGAAAGGGAGGAATATGTTGAAGTGAGGACGATGGAATGCGATTGATAAGATATGCGGCTGTGAGGACGCATTCACCCCAAGAGGAGAGTGGAAGGTTTGCTTGAAAGCGTAGACATCGAGCCACATTTAACATGTGGCGGTGTTTGCGCTCAGCAATACCATTCTGTTGTGGTGTTTCCACACAGTATATTCATGAATAGCACCTTGCTCAAAGAAAAAATCTTGAGTAGTACAAGCAATGAATTCTTGGCCATTATTGGTGCGTATGTGACGTATCTTAGAATTAATTTGGGTGTGGATCATAGAAAAGAACGCACGGAGACAAGCCAAGGCTTCAAATTTGAAACGCATTAAGGACACCCATGTGGCCTGATTGCATTCATCCACTATAGCTAAAAAATAATGTGCACCTGTAAGAGAGGCAATGTGATAACTAACCCAAATGTCACAAAAAATGCAATCAAAAGGCATCAAACTTTTATTAGGAATCGATTGAAAAGGAAACCGAGTATGTTTTCCACGAGTACATATGTCGCAATGAGCAATGTTTTGAGGACGAGAAATAAAACAAGGAATATTATGTAATAAGGGGTGACCCAAACGTTGATGCCATGTATTAAAAGAGATAGTGCTTGATGCTTGGAGAGTGGTGGTGGGAGCATGCTTGAAGTAGTATAATCTGTTACGCTCTTCACCCACACCAATTAACATCTTCGTGGTTAGGTCGTGAAAAGCGCAGAAAGTGGAGAAAAATGTCACAGCACAATTAAGAGATTTCGTTAGTTGACTGATAGTTAATAAATTGAATTTAAAATCTAGAATGGATAAGACATTAGAAAGAATTAAATTATGAGTTAAAGGGACATCACCTATGGAAGATATAGGGGCATGTGCAACTGGAAATAAAAGGGGGGCAAGTAGATGATTTTAAATTGGTGAGGGATGAAGATGCAATATGATGGGTGGCACCACTATTTATTACCCGGGGGGCGGGATTTGGGAAAAATTGGATGGAGGGCGGGACTCACCTTCAAATGCCATGGAAGTGGGTTTTAATAGCTCCCGTAATTGGTTGTATTGCTCGGTAGAGAGACTTGGGGCGACACTCACGGTGGAGGAACTTTGATCGACGGTGACCTGTGCACCGCCATATGTAATTATGCCGTCTATCCCTTCAATTTCTGTGCATATATCTTTTATTTCAGCTGTTCCTCCGTGTTTTACAAAATTGTTGTCTTATGTATGTGCATATTCAATTTAGCCCACCTTTTAATTCTCAAAGCAGCATCTAATTTTTAATTTTAGCTGCCGACTTCTCTCTCTACTTGTGTGTTTCTGTGAGTACAAGATACTTAATTCAGCCGCCCACTTTTCCTTCTCTTTTCTCCAAGCTGGCGATCCCAATGTGTAAATCTATATCATAATTCAGCAGCCTCAATCCTTGATTTTTTCTATCTGCTGGTACCTTTTTTTGTATCAGTTTTCATGTGTATCTACAGAGAGCCCGAGGAAGCCAAGATTGATCTAGTGGTCAGATTCCTGATGCTCTGATACCAAGTTAGAATTTGACACGATATAAATTTTGTGAATGAAGAATAATTCTCATTATTGTGATGGACTCGTGACTATTCTTTTATAGTACAATGAGTATATATCTAATCTAGGAAAGTAAAACAATTATAATAAGACAATGTAATTAACAAGGAAAATAAATATTCTTAGATGCCGAAATATTCAATACACTTTACGCACAGAATTCAGACCATTTTCAATCCTGATGATGCAAGTAAAAGTATGCACATGTTCTTCATCATCTTCAAACCATCACTCGCCATGGACGAAAATTTGCGAACTCAAGATTAGACCCAAAAACCTCTCTTAAACTCTCAAATATCTCAAACTCTTTAAAAACATTCAGTTTCTACCATATATTTCAAGAAAAAATAAAACTCAACCTCAACAACAGTAGTGATCAAGAAAAAGTTAGTCTCCTAGTTGTAGTCCGATACCCAAGAGCTGTTTCGAGGTACTTTGGGATAGAAATGACCTGAAACTTGACTCTATTGAAGGTGTTGACCTCGTTTTCGGTTGGGGCCACGAGGACAACAGATGCTGGACCCACCTGCGCATACGCTGGCATAGTCCAACACGCTTAGACACGTGGACGATCTGGAACAGTCGGATATAGGGTGTGGGAGTGGCTAAAAGGCGCAGGATGGCAACGTTCGAAATTCGACAAGATAGTGGTGGAATGATTGTACAATAATTACCAATCGTGTTGGTAGAATGTGTATGTAATCTCGATTGTATCGCAAGAAAGTAAAAGAGAGAGAGTGTCGGTCTTGTATTGAATCTTGCATTAGCCTTACAATTGGTGCATGGGGAAGTATTTATAGTAATACAACTTGAATCGTGGCCCTCGATTGGGAGTATACGTGGCCTCATCTCGTTAATTTACATATCCAATCCTAGGCATCATTTTTGACTACCTAGCCTGCTATACATTTATTAATTGGCATAGCCGCCGTTATATTTAATAAGACAAGACAC